GAAAGTGACGACGGTTTCGCAAATCGCAGCCCCCCCAGGGATAGCGAGGTCTAATTTGGACCTGCGGCGGCTACCCACTATGCTGGGCCCCAGGCAGCCCTCGAAAGTGACGACAGCTTCGCAGATCGCAGCCCCCCAGGGATGGCGAGGTCTACTTTAGGTCTGCGGCGGCTACCCACCATGCTGGCCCCCCAAGCAGCCCTCGAAAGTGACGACGGTTTCGCAAATCGCAGCCCCCCAGGGATGGCGAGGTTTAATGTGGGTCTGCGGCGGCTAGCCAGGTTCACTGGCAGGCCGATCCCAAAACGCACTTCGTTACGAGTGACGCGTGGCGCCGACCGAGCGATTACATCGTGCACCTCGCGCGGGCCGGTCAATCCGGCCGCCAGAAAGCGAACGCCGGGCACGCTGAAACGGGAGCTGACACTTGTGTTGGCGAAGTTCGCCGATGCGCGCAACCCGTTTTGGGAGGACGACAACGAGAGCGTGCCCTGGGCGCGCCGACGGACCTTCCCGATGTTATTGATGGGCCAGAACGGCTCCAGCAAGACGGTGATCATCCAGGATATCCCGCTGCCCGTCATGGACTTCATGTTCGCGCCGTCATCCACGCAGAGCGTCTGCGCCATGTGGCTTAGGAGCGAGAAAACCTCAACCGAGCGCCACAGGGCAACTACGTGACGCAAGGCGGCGCACATGAACATCGGAGAGCACCGCACCCTGTCGATGGCGCCCGCGGCTGATGTCTGGACGCGGCTGTGGAAGATCTGGTGCGACCTGAACCCATTCGTCATCAAGGAAGTGAGCCTGGTGTCGCCGAGCCTCTTCAACATGCTTGCCCACCGCGCGTTCCATGCCTGGCGGGAGAAGTGCGAGTTGCAGGAGGCGTACTGCATCAGCCCGTCCTGCGCCTTCGGGCGCGCCCCCATCGCGATCTACCTGGGGGACTCCTTGCAACTGAAGCCCACGGGTCATGGGATCTCTCTCACTGCACCGACCTTGCAGACGTGCTGCATCGCATGTTTGCGTGGATGTCTGCCACTGCCAAGGCAAAACCCCGAAACGGCGAGTGAAAAACGACGTGACTTTCGCGTGGATTCGACGTGACTTTCGCGTGGATGTTTTAATCGTCATTCCTGGCCCATTAAAGAACACGAACTTCACTTCGAAGTCCAGAACGACATTCTCCATGACAATCTGGGCCCATCCTGTTACTTCCGAACGAGATCCGCTCTGCGGTGTTGGCACCATGATCCCTCTGCTGCCCGACCTGCATAAGCTGGCGACCGCCGATGACGGAGAAGAACAGCCGCCCGTCGAGCGCCAGAGGGCCATGACATCATTTCACGACGCGCCCCTGCGCTTCCAGCCCTGGGCCACGAAGCGCTTCAAGGACCCAACCTCGCCGACATCATCAACACTTCATGCGCAAGCCGAAGAGGGGCCTCACAGGGACTTGGTCCTGGGCAAGATCGCTGATACCTGAAACCACACCCACACGAAGAAGATTGACATGCGCCCTCGCGAGGAGCGGTTTCCAGACGGGGTTGGGACACCGTCGCCTGGTGGATGATGATGCGAGCGAGGAGAGATGCTGGTTCCCTCGGCCACTTGCTCTACCTCGCCCTGGCCGCCGACGCGTCCTCGCCCGCGCCCCCCGTGGACCTGACCGCGAAGCTCGCGAACCAAGTCGACCCGAACGCGAGGCGCGGCGCGCGCGGGACGCTGCCCCTGCGCGCGGGCACGCGGATTCGCTAGCTGGAGCACCTGGACCTCGACGAGGGCCTCGTTAAGGGCGCCGAAGGCGAGGTCGCGAGCGTAGCGCTCAACCCCCCTGGGCAAGGCAGAAGGGAAGTCGGCGAAGGCAGAGGGGCGCCCAGCGCACCTGCGGCGCCTGCCCTTCGGCGTCTGCGCCTGCATGGACAGGCGCAGGGCCCCCGCCTTCGGCGAGAGGCTCGCGGAGCACGACGGCAACGTCGCCGCGCGCCTCGGAAGCACCGTCGACAGCGGGTACGAAAACGATTGCGACCAGGACGGCCGGTGGCTGCACCTCCACGCGATGCTTTGCAGGGCCGCGAAGGTCGACGATCTCCCGATGCTTCGGGGCCCGGGCCGCCCGCGGACCTTGCGGCGCGTCGGCTTGCTTTTTACATCCCCCGCGCTAAAAAAAATGTCTGGAGGGGGGCCCAGCAGCTGGCAGGGCAGCCTGGCCTGGCGCACTTATCGCACTGATTTTGTGGCTGAATGCTAGCGCGCCTCGGAGCAAAGTCTTCCTCCCTCCTCTGCCTTCTCTCTCGTCGTCACTTCTCCCCTTCCTGTTGCCATGACCTCTTGCTGCTGCCTCGCTGACGTTGCAAGCTCCCTGTCCGCCTTCTCCTCTTAGTCCTCGCCCCTCTCTCCCCTCGACCCGGGGACCTGTAATAATCACCTCCATCAAGCCCTTGTCCATCGATCAGTGCCATGCGGATCGCGCAACTCGCGAGAATCCCGGGTAACGCTCGCAGAGAATATGCTTCCTTGCCACGCTCGCATCCCCTAGAGCATCTGCCCAGCTGTTGTGGCCATGCGCTGCGCAAGTGTTCGGTGCGTCGCCAAAGCTGATTCGTCGCATGTGGATGCGCGACCGCCGCCGGCCGACTGATAATCGGCAAAATGAAATGACGAGTCTGGGGCCCATTGCGCGACAATGGGTTCGTCAACGATGGAGGCAACGACGACGCAACCAAACATCAATCGGCACTGGCAGCGGCGTGTCTATCGATTTCTCATCACGAACCCCCAATAACCGAACACAGGCCTCGAGCGAGGGCAAACTAAGCCAAGACTGTGGGAATAGATGCGAGCCCAAACTGTGAAGAGCTCGAACCGAACAAACCAAACAATAGAGGAACCCCCATGCAGAAGAAGCACGTACATGAATGAATCCCACCAGCCTTTGTATGGGGTGCGTGGTTTAAAGCGCTTCCTTGTCCAACCATCTTTTCTGGGCGACACACATTCTGCACAGGCAATATGAAAATGCCACATTGATGTTAACCTAATTGTCCCTCTTTGGAGGCTGTGTGAAACTTAAGCAAAACTGGTCTGGACCGTGTTCGTCATTAGGAAAGAAGGTATGACCATGAGAATAAGAAGATGGAAGAGAAGCGAATGCTGGCATATACGCGCAACGATGTGCAACTAAATCAGTGACCCGCTCCGCGGCAACGTGGATAAGCAAAATACAGAAGAAGTATATAAGAAGTTATGCAAGCGCGTTCGCGAGACTTGCAACCTATCGTTGTGCGGGGCGTCAAGCGGGCCACAGCCTAGCATATCAAGTGTCGTCTTTCGCTGGTGCCTGGCAAGCATCATGGAGGGGCAGAAAACTCGCCGGGCGGCAGTGAGCAAGGCCGCTCGGCAGAACAACGGACGAGGCGCTGCGGCACAGGTCTTTGCCCCGACTCTCACCTGGGTCAGGCGGCCGGGACAACAACTGGTTCCCAATTGTGCGAGACATGGAGACCCATGCGGTCTGGAGCGATGCCATCGGCGACCATATCCAAAACAGTGTTGCACACGGCGTCGGCATCTTCGTTAAATTCGCGGTAAACGTGGATTCCTCTTCGAATCCCCTTCTTCCGCTTCGGCAAAGGGTTTTAGCCGCCCCCCTGCCCCCCCCCCTGGACCTTGAGGGGGGGCCGTGGCGGGGGGGTCAAAATCCAAAATCCTTCAGATCCCAAGCGGAAATTCATCAGTTTAGCATTCTCGCATGTCCGCTTCCGATGGGGGGCCTCAGGATGGCCACAAGAGGGCCTAGCAGGGCCCACAGAAGGGGCCCGTCATGGCCCCAAGACGCCTCCAAGAGAGCCCCAAACGGCGACTTTGGGAGCTCCAGAGGAGGGGCGCCAAGTAAGTACCCCCCCTCTGGACCAACGAACGAAACATTGGAAACAGAACAGGGTTCATGACGTTTCGGTGCATATTTGGAAGGTTTTGGGTCCAAGAGGGGGCGCCACGATGGCCCCTCACGCTTCAAGATATCCTCCAAGACGGCGCAAGATGGTCCAAGCTGGCTCAGGATGGCCTCCAAGAGGCCTCATGATGGCCCAAAAACGGCCGAAAGTGGCCGCGGAGACTCCCAGAGAGGCCCCCAAGAGGCCAACATCCGTCCAACACCTGAGCTAAATCGATGACTGCGGCCTTCTCGCCTGTTCGCTCCCGAGGGGCTCCCGAGGCCTCAAAATGGCTCCAAGAGGGTCCAGGAGGGCCCCGAGACAGGCCCAAGGTGGCCCCGAGGCAACTCCCAGGGCGCCCCAAGAGGACTCCGGGTGGCGACTTTGGGGGGGCTCCTCCTGTGGAGTGGGGCAGCGCCTCTGGCGCGCACCGTTCGATGGTTGGGGCGGCGGGGCCGCAGACGACCACCTCTTGGGGTATGACGGCGTCCCCCGCCCTCTGTTCCACTGCGTGCTCCGCATCCCTGATCAGGGAAACTCGCCTGGGCAACGTTCCTGGATGGGCTGGTGGGGTCACTTTTTTGGTCGGCGGCTCCGAGGCGGCGGACAGGGAGCGGTAGGCGTCGTCTGGGCCAGCAGGCGAAGCAAATTAGCTACAACAGGCAAGGCACCTGCAGTCTTGTGGGGTCACGCGAAGCGTCTAGAATATACCAGCATCAAAACCACAACGACCATATTGAAGCAGATATTCATATCCTACAAAAATACGCAATAATATCATATCTGCGACACCAGAAAAGGCACAACAATCAAACGACAGCACGTGGCGTTCAAAATAGAACATCTGAGAAACCGACCGGTCGAATGGCATCAACCCTCAACCGAACCCATGCTTACAGAATGGACGGAACTGGTGTCCGGGACAGGCGGCACCTTTTTCCGGAACGGCCGAAGCGTACCTCCGGAAGGCGAAGCCTGCTTCCAGAACGCTGGAACTGCTTCAGGGAAGCTGAAGTAGCTGCTCCTCCTCGTCCTCGTCCTCCTCCTCCTCCTCCTCCTCCTCCTCCTCCAAAGAAGGGCGAGGAGACAAAACCCTGCCAAGAAAGCGTGTCAACCCGCCCGCAAAGGCAAGCCTACTTCGAGCCGTTCGCGACACGAGTGCCTCTGGGCGTGCATAGGCGACGGCGAAGCTTTGTCGCCAAGTCGCTAAATGCGCGTTGACCACTCCAGGCTCTTGCAGCGATCCTGCCAGCAGGCCCCCACGCCAGGCCACTCGGGGCTCGTCTTGGAGGGTCTGACGGGCGTCTTGGGACCCCCATCTTGCGAGTCTGAAAGACATGTTGGGCGCTCCTCGGGGGGGCCTTGGGATACTTCCATGGGCCCCTGTCGAAAACCGCGGGGGGACGAGGGGGGGCAACCTCAAGCACTCAAGCGAACCATGGATTCCAAATAAACCGTAAAGTGCCGCAAAATCCGCCAACCCACTCGGCGCGCGTGAGACGCTGTCGTCGTCTTCGTCGTCGTCAGTTCCAAGGAAATCGAAAAACGAACAGAGAAAAGAAACGTCGTGAAAGAAACGTCGTAGTTTAATCGATTCCCTCCCCTTTGCCCCTCCCTGACGGGGGGGCAGGGGGGGAACGCCCCGAGAGCCGTCCAGGAAGGCTGCCCACGCTCGCGCCCTGGGAGGCCCCCAGAGGCCCTATCACCATGAGAAAAATTCAGCACAGGGAGGCTGCCCACGCTCCCGCCCTGGGAGGCCCCCAGAGGCCCTACACCAGGCGAAAACAATCCAGGGAGGCTGCCCGCGCTCGCGCCCTGGGGAGGCCGCCCACGCTCCCGCCCGGGGAGGCTCCCGAGGCTCCCGCTGCCCCCCGCTGCTCCTGACGCTCCCGACGCTCCCGACGCTCCTGGCACTCCTGGGGCTCCCGACGCGCCCGACTCGCCCGACGCTCCCAACGCTGCCGACGCTTCCGACGCTCCGGGCGCCACCGGCGCTCCCGGTGCTCCCGGCCTGCGCTGCCGGCGCTCCTGACGCTCCCAACGCTCCCGGCGCTTCTGACGCTCCCGACGCTCCTGGCGCCCCCCGCGCTCCAGGCGCTCCAGGCGCTCCAGGCGAGGCGCTCGGGTCGCTCCCGGCGTTCCCGGCACTCCCCACGCTCCTGACACTCCTGCGGCTCCTGATGCCTCCGACGCCCCCGTCGCCCCTGGCGCCCCTGACGCTTCTGGCGCTCCCGACGCCCCTGACACTCCTGACGCTCCCGACGCTCCCGACGCGACGCTGCGGAGCTTCAGACGCTTCGGTCTGATGCTTCTGACGCCTCTGACGCTCCTGACGCGGCGGAGCTTCAGGAGCTTCAGAACCTTCAGAGTGTTAGTGGCACCCGGTGCCCCATCTATCTGAATGGGCGCGTTTGACCTCGCCCTCGGCTCCAAGGCCTCAACTTTGGCTCCTGGCTAACATGTGCCTTCGGCCTGCGTTGTCTGTGCCCTCCCCGTGTTAGCACGCCACGCACTAGAATCCGGGCCCAAACCCCCCAATCCACACTATCTCACGTGGGCAACACTGACGCACGCGAACGCACGCGCGCCTCGCGAGTCAAGACCAGCAAGTATTGAGACATATGAAGACCACAACGGAGATTGGGGCCAGAGAGGAGTGCCCCGTGCACGCGTCGGCCCACAGCCATCCATACACCTATCGAGATGGCTCGAAACTGCCCCCACCCCAGACGCCTAAAGGTGCCCAGAAGATCTGCAAACATGGCCCAACATGACCCCAAGTCGCATCAAACTGTACTCCTCCTCCTCCTCCGCCTCCTTCTCAATGACGTCCTCCCTTGGGCGCATCTTTCTTCTTTGCGCGCACGCGCAGACCGGCCTGGTAATAATTGAGCCTCAGGCGCCGGCTGAAGCCCAGCCATTAAAATGTGCACTCGTCTGTTTGCAGACGTGATCGCGGGCGAACTGCACGCGTGAGCAAACAATGGTGTGCGTTTGCAAGGTTGGTTGAATTAAGCAATGCGCAAATGTCTTTTGCGCATGCGAATGCCATGTTTGAAGAACTGCCTGCCATCGCGCTTATATGCGTCAGGGAAGGCGCGAATCCCAGCTGACCACCAAATGCATGCGCGCAAACTCTGATTCTGATTGGCCCGCACCGATGTCAGTACTAGTGCTGCGACATGGGGCACGTCAACGGCGTCATGCGTCTTCGAAACCCAAAGAACCATCAACCTTGCGGAACCTGTAAAACGGCCCATGTGCTGCTGATCTGAATCGCTGCCATCTCAAAATGGTACCCTGCCTGCGAATACCCATACCGGTTGACGTCTCCTTCGAACGAGTGTCAGCGAAGAATCGAACATCACCTGGAGGGAAAGAAGACGGTGACGATGACCAAGATTGAAGGCAGAAACTTCGGTGCAGATCTTGGTCACGGCCCATCTAGGTCACCGTCGACTCGTGGATCATCCTCGCGAGATCGGCGACGGCCAGCATGGACCATTATTACGAAAGGCGTCGACAAAATCTCGCGACTCTTCCCTCGATCATTGGAGCGATACAGAGGGCAGCGTGTCAGTAAAGCACTGTCTCCCTCCAGATGCCCCCCAGCCCCAGTGAGGGGCAGACATACGGGGGACTCGCCCAGGGGGAGGGGGGAACATCGACATGGAATCGGCGATGCATCGCCGATATGTCGGCGACAAGCCCCCTCGATTGCGGTCCACACGTTCCCAGGTGGGTATCAGACCCCAGTCGAACATCAGTGGGCGATTGGGGCTCGACGCGTTCCCCCCTGAGCCTATGCCCCCCGAGCGTCTCTTGGCCCTGGCCCAGGGACGGGGGCGTCGCTGAATGGAGGGGGGAGCGACGCAGGGGAGGGGGGAGAACGGTGCACTTCTCGGGCCCCCAAGGCCCCCTTTGGGGCCCTGAAGTGCACCTTTCCTGCAGCCCTCGCTCCCCCTTGCGCGAGGCCCCAGGGAGGGGGACAGCTCGAAGAGCCGGAGGCGGGATTTCCACCACAGCTCAGGGCCCCTCCGCGCCCCCGACAGCGGCACTCCGTGCGTCCCTGGCCGGAACCGGGGGCGGGGGTGAGGCTTCGGAGGCCCTCGACGCGGGCGGTGGAGCGCGGGCAGCTGTCTTAGATCCCAGCCCCAATGAGACGAGGCCAGGACGAGGATAACATCGGGCGAGGATATATCGAGAATCTCTGCGATCCGGCGACTCTGGAGAATGGCGCAGGCGCCGCGACCTTCTCAGAGCGTTCCGGAACGCTCTGAGAGTCTTCCGGAATAGTCTGGAACGGATTTATCCTCGTCCTAGCCCCGTCCGATACAGTCGCGGCACCCATTTGGCAAAAAGATGAGCTCGGACACCAAACAATCCACTGCCCCTCAGGGGAGCTCTCACTGCACCCATCGAGGAGCCGATGCAACTCCCACGCAGCGGCAGTGTTATATAGAGGCCGACCAGGTTAATGTCACCACGTTCGGTCGGGGGGAACGCACGTAACTTCCCGCTGTTGTCGTCATCCAAGGCTCTGCCTGATGCAATGTTGACTGCTCGCACGAACTTCAAATGCAGATTTGTTATCATCTAAGAAGCCCCCGCACCGGCTTGCTTCGAAGCCCAGCTGGAGAAAGTTGCTGGCAATGGATAGCCATGTATGGAAAAAACTCTCTGGTTCGAGAGTGGTACAAAACGGAGCAGGGGATGATAGTATACGATACATGGTGGAAGCAAGGAGAAAACCACCCATCTCAACTCCCATCTCACACGATGAGAATGCACCCCTTCGCATCGTCGCCGAACATCCGCTCAAATGTGACTGATGCGCAGGAGAAAGCGCATTGCGATTGATCGCGCGAAAAAGATTACGTGCCACAGCGTGCCCGCTGCTGGCTACTCGGACTTCCAGTTCTCGCAGCACATCTGCACAATCCGCCGACCCCTTTGGGTCACGGAATGTGAGATGCTTCCCCCTTCCCAAACCCCTCCCCCGGGAGCCCGGTCGGGCCGGAATGGAGGGGAGGGGGTGGAGGGCAAAGGTGTCGGCCGCGCCCTTGGAGCCTCAGGGGGCCCAAAACGGGCAAGAGGGCCCCCAAAGGACCCCCGGACGGTCCAAGAGGGCTACGAGTCGCCGAGAGATCGCTCCAAGACGCCCAGGACTGCCTCCAGACGGTCGCGGAGGCCCCCAAGACGCCCCAAGAAGCCACCAAGAGGCGTCCCAAGAGGCCCTCCAGAAGCAAAATTCGTCCCATTTCCTACGGAAAACGTATTATTTTAGCACATTCGCCCCATGGGCTCTCACGACGCCCACAACGGCCCAAGATGCCTTTAAGATCGACCCAAGATAGCCCAAGAGGCCCCCAAGAGGGCTCCAAGACGGCCCAAGAGGGCCTCAAGACGGCCCCAGCTGCTTCCAAAACGACCCAAGAGGGCCCCAGGACGACCCTAAGAGGAGGCCCAGAGGGGAAACCCGAGTGAACATTTCGAGCACTCGGCCCCGAAAAAACCTGAGGAGGCACCAATAGGCCCCCAAGAGGCTCCCACGAGGCCCCCGAAGCCAAAAAGCAGAGCCGCGATCTGCCAACCGCCCCCAACGAAATCCCAAGAAGCTGAAACCCCAAGATTACCCAGAAATCGTTCCGCAAACTCTGTTTTTCCTTCTTACTGCCGCCCCAAGGGGTCGGCGGTGCGGCGTCAGCCAATGAATCCTCCTTCCCCCCGCCACCACCGCCACCTCCCCCACCACCCCCTCGATCACTGGTCCGCATTCGGTATCGCAAAACTGAGGACTATGTCGGCTAGAACGTCGTAATAGTCCAGTGTCATATGAAAAGGGTCCGTGTGCATGCTCTGAAGTTGGGACATTTTATAGGCATCCAAAATATACACGTTGGGGAATTCACTGGATATCATGTCGGTCACCGCCTCGTTCCACTGCGCGCACCGCGCATTGGTATGCAACGGCATCTGAACGGGATCCTCGAAAATGTGATTTATCAAGATCCAGACAATCACGGTCACCGAGCCTTGAAAAGCGAGCAACTGTTCGCGAACAGACTCTACATAGTCGTCAGCTGACATGGCTTCAATGTAGAAATCATGTAAGCCCTGGTTCGTAATGATGGCGTCCACGCTGCCGTACCGCTTCTTAACATAAGCGGCAATGGTGCCCTGAGTGGTATTTGTCTCGTTAGTCTGCAATGAAACCTCTCTCGCGTATTCCACGGGAACGTACTCAAAATCCAGCACGCACTGCTTGCTAACATTGCCCGAAGCAACAGAAACCTGACCACGATAACACCTGAATGACCGAGTGTCTTGGCAATAAGGGTGGGTAAGACCTTTGAAGAGCGGGGCGAAACCTTGCGGCGGAGGCACCCACTCTGGCGCTGGATCCAAACCTAGGAATTCCATCCTGTCGCAATCATTCTTAGAGACGGCCGTGTCATGCCAAGCACTATCGAAAATAGGGCGCAGCCTGCTATACAAGTTGTGCATCGTCGAATCCCCCAGAAATAAGAATCTGGAGTGCGTCACGTCGCTGGCGTCCTCGCCGCAGTGTCTCGCATAACTGCTCCATGAGAAGTTCATGGGGCAAGAAGACGACTTGTCAGGGTGCCACGTCAATGGGTTCCCGTGCCACCCGCCCCCGCCAGAGCATACTTCATGGGAAGTGGAATTGGCCGTGGCTGCGGTGCTGGAAGTGGTCGCACCGTCGGAACATGTGGCATCCACGTAGACGGCGCCGATATAGTAGAAGCCCAGAGACCAAGAGATCAGGGCCGTGATAGCGAGCAAGGGTAATAAGATCCCAAAGATCTTGGAGGTTTGTTTCGGGCGACGCTTGTGAAGGGGAGCCTCCATCAAGTGGTACGTGGCCATTGCGAGTGCTAAGGTTATGGCAAAAACAATCACCATGGACGTCGGAGACTTGAGACATTCGGTCCCCCGCATAAACACTAGTACTGGCCAATGCCACAGATAGAGGGCATATGACAGATTACCGATGTACACCAAGAACTTGCTGCCAAAGCACGCATTTAGAATCGCATTCGGTGAACTACCTGCAGCTATAAAGCAGAGCGTCCCGCCAACACTCAGCGACGCCCAAGGGAAGGGAAACCCCCAACCACTTGGCGTGAACAACAGCCCAACAATGAGCAACAACGACGATGCAACCTGCAATATTATATACCTGACGCCGTTCGCAATGGTGTCCGTACCGGGTGCATAGTTCGGCATCATATGAAACACGCACGCGCCAAGCGCCAACTCCCAAAACCGGGACGGTAATATATAGAACGCGACTTGGGCGTTGGAATCCGCCGGCCCCCGTGTGGGGCCACAAGGCTCCGAGGTTCTCCAGTTCCAGTTTCGAGTCTCCCATATCATAGTCCTACGTTATTGTTCCCACGGTACTTCGTTGAAGGCCGCGCGAGGGGGGGGGGGGGGCAAAAAGAGCCCCGCTTACCACCGCCCGGGGGGGGTCTCAGATTTTCTGGGGGGTCCTAAGAACGCAAAAGTACAGAAGACTCGCGCCCCCGAAGCCATCATCCCTTGTACATTACACTAGACTCGCGCTCCCAAGGGCATACTCCCTCGTAGATCATACAATGTCCGCGTCCCCAAAACAAGACACCCTCGCCAATCATATGGTGCTCGCGCTTCTGAAACCAATATATTTCGTACAGTATGCGATGTGCGCGTCTCCGAAGCAATACTCTGCCTCTCTCTCTCTCTCTGTCTCCTTCTCCCTCGTTTTCTCTATTCGTAAATGACGCAGTTCTTGCGCCCCCGAAGCCACGATCCCTCATAGATTTCGCATGCTTCGCGTGCCCGCATTCACAAACCCTTGTAAAGTGCGCAGTCTTCGTGCTTCCGAGGCCAGTCCTTCATTAAAGGCCCTAAGACAATACAATAGGCCTCAGAGACGGCCCAAGAGTGCTCCAAGGCGTCCAAGATGGTCCCAAGACGGCCAAAGAGGCTCCCAAGAGGCCCCCAAGAGCGCTCCAAGAGCACCCCCAATCGTTTCCCACGAGGCCAACATCTGCGATGCTGCTTTAGTTTTTGATGGATTTTGGTACGCTCATATCTCCATCGGCCCCCGTTAGGAGTTCCGACGCTGCTGCATGACGGCGCCTGGGCCTCACAATATCGCTCTTGCATGCCCCATTCTCAAAAGGAGGGGGACGGCGACAGGGGGCGAAGCTCTTAAGGATAACTTGAAAAGGTGAGGACGTCCGAGAGACGGGTGCGTTGGTGTGGTTGCAAGTTTACCCCCCCTTACCCCCCCACTGGCCTTGCCCCCTGTTGCTGGCCCACCCCCACCAAAGATGCCGGAGCTCCTGGGCACGGCCGCGGCGATCCCAGGAGCCTCTCACGTGCGCCCAAGACGGTCCAAGACTGTCCCAAGACGGCCCAAGAGAGCCTCCAGACGGTTCCAGATCGTTCCAAGACGCCCAAGATGGCCTCCAAACGGCCCAAGACGCTTCCAACACGCCCCAAGAGGCCTTCAAGAGCACCTTCACGAGAGCCCTAGAAACAGAAAGAATTGATTTTCGAATGGTTTTTGAACGATTTCCGCGTTCTCGTCATTTCGGCTTACCAGCGCTCCCCAAGACGGCCCAAAAGGCCCCCAAGACCGCCCCAAGACGGCCCAACCGGCCCCCAAGAGGGCTCCAAGAAAGCCCAAGAGGGCCCCAAAACGGCCCAAGAGGCCCCCACGACGGCCCAAGAGAGACCCAGGACGACCCCAAGAGTGGGCTCAGAAGGGGAACCTGAATGGACATTTCGAGCTTTCGGTCCCAAGAGGCCCCCAGGAGGCCCTAAGAGGTTCCCAAGAGGCCGCTAAAAGGCTCCACGACGGCCCCAAGAGGCCCCAAGATGGCCCCAAAAAGTCACCAAAAAGATCCCGGGAGGCCTTCAAGAGGCCCCGAAACTGCCCTGCAAGGGCCCCCTGAGAGCTCTCTGGAGAGAACCGAGAGAACCCAAGAAGCGTCCATGAGGACTCCGACCCAAAATCCAAGCACGGTGGCGGGATGGGCCGAAGGCCATTTGACCTGCTTGGCACGTGGACGGAAAGCGCACTTACTTTCAGAGCGCACGAGATCGCTGGCTCGTCCGCTCTTACACCTCTTATTGACTCCCTTCCCCTCGCTCTTGTCCTATCTCAGCCTCGGAGAGTCGCGGAGCTTTCTTTGAGCGCGTTTCTTGTTTTGGAGGGGGCGGTCGGGTCGCGTTGCGTTTTCCGCGTTTGGGCTGCCAGCTTTCCAGAACCCCGCGTTTTCCTTGCGTGGACCGCTCGTTGTCCACGCGTTGCCGCCCGTCCCTGTGCCCTGGCGTCAAGAACTTATTACGTCGCAGCTCTCGGTTGGGAGCTTTGGTCTCATCAGCTCGATTACGTCACCGCTCGCTCTTGGGAGCCGCGGTGCTAAGAGCCTTTGGGAGTATTTTGGGCCTCTTGGGGGGCTCTTGGGGAGCCTCTTGGGTGCCTCTTAGGGACCTTTTGGGGCTTCTCGGGGGCCTCTGGGGGCCTCGTGGGAGCTTCTGGGCTGCGGGGGTGAAGGGACTAGGCTGCATTTGGCCGTCTTTGGGCTCTCTTGGGGGCCTCTCGGGGCCTTCTTGGGGCTGTCCTGGGGCCGTCGTGGACCGTCTTGGCGCCTCTTGGGCCGTCTTGGCGCCCTCTTGGGCAGTTTTTGGGCCCTCTTGGGGGCCTCTTGGGCCTTCTTGGGGCGCTCTTGGGGGCCTCTTGGACAGTCTTGGGCGCCTCTTGGCCCGTCTTGGCGCCCTCTTGGGCTATTTGGGGGGCCTCTTGGAAACATCTTGGACCGTCTTGGGGCGGTTTGGGGGGCCTCTTGGAACGCCTTCAACGCCATGAAAGGCGAAAAGCCGTATATGCTAGAAATGCACGTTTTCCTTAGAAAATCAATGATGTTGGCCTCTTGTGGCCCTCGTGGGACGCCTCGTGGGCGCCTCCTGGGGCGTCGTGGAGGCCTCTTGGGACGTCTTGGGGCCGCCTTGGGCGGTCTTGGGCTCTCTTGGAGCGCTCTTGGGCCGTCTTGGGAGCTTCTTGGGCAGTCTTTGGCCGTCTTGGGCGCCGTCTTGGCCGCTTCCTGGGCTGTCGCAGGCGCCTAAGACGGCCCAAGAAGCGCCCAAGAAGCGTTCTCCGATGATGTCTCGAGCGAAACGCTGTTTTGAAGCCCCGAAGGCCGTCCTACCTGCTTGGCACGGGGCTGGCTCGTCCGCTCTTACACCTCTGATTGACTCCCTTCCCCTCGCTCTTGTCCTACCTCAGGCTCGGAGAGTCGCGGAGCTTTCTTTGAGCGCGTTTCTTGTTTTGGAGGGGGCGGTCGGGTCGCGTTGCGTTTTCCGCGTTTGGGCTGCCAGCTTTCAAGAACCCCGCGTTTTCCTTGCGTGGACCGCTCGTTGTCCACGCGTTGCCGCCCGTCCCTGTGCCCTGGCGTGAAGAACTTATTACGCCGCAGCTCTCTGTTGGGAGCTTTGGTCTTATCAGCTCGATTACGTCACCGCTCGCTCTTGGGAGCCGCGGTGCTAAGAGCCTTTGGGAGTATTTTGGGCCTCTTGGGGGGCTCTTGGGGAGCCTCTTGGGTGCCTCTTGGGGACCTTTTGGGGCTTCTCGGGGGCCTCTGGGGGCCTCCTGGGAGCTTCTGGGCTGCGGGGGTGAAGGGACTAGGCTGCATTTGGCCGTCTTTGGGCTCTCTTGGGGGCTTCTCGGGGCCTTCTTGGGGCCGTCCTGGCGCCGTCTTGGGCCGTCTTGGCGCCTCTTGGGCCGTCTTGGCGCCCTCTTGGGCCGTTTTTGGGCCTTCTTGGGGGCCTATTGGGCCTTCTTGGGGCGCTCTTGGGGGCCTCTTGGACAGTCTTGGGCGCCTCTTGGCCCGTCTTGGCGCCCTCTTGGGCTATTTTGGGGGCCTCTTGGGAACATCTTGGGCCGTCTTGGGGCGGTCTTGGGGGCCTCTTGGACCGTCTTCAACGCCATGAAAGGCGAAAAGCCGTATATGCTAGAAATGTACGTTTTCCTTCAGAAAATCAATGATTTTGGCCTCGTGGGGCCCTCTTGGGACGCCTCGTGGGCGCCTCCTGGGGCGTCGTGGAGGCCTCTTGGGACGTCTTGGGGCCGCCTTGGGCGGTCTTGGGCTCTCTTGGAGCGCTCTTGGGCCGTCTTGGGCGCTTCTTGGGCCGTCTTGGGCCGTCTTGGGCGCCGTCTTGGCCGCTTCTTGGGCTGCCTTAGGCGCCTAAGACGGCCCAAGAAGCGCCCAAGAAGCGCTTTCCGATGATGTCTCGAGCGAAACGCTGTTTTGTAAGCCCCGAAGGCCGTCCTACCTGCTTGGCACGGGGACGGAAAGCGCACTTACTTTCAGAGCGCACGGGATCGCTGGCTTGTCCGCTCTTACACCTCTTATTGACTCCCTTCCCCTCGCTCTTGTCCTATCTCAGCCTCGGAGAGTCGCGGAGCTTTCTTTAAAGGCGTTTCTTGTGTTGGAAGGGGCGGTCGGGTCGCGTTGCGTTTTCCGCGTTTGGGCTGCCAGCTTTCAAGAACCCCGCGTTGTCCTTGCGTGGACCGCTCGTTGTCCACGCGTTGCCGCCCGTCCCTGTGCCCTGGCGTGAAGAACTTATTACGCCGCAGCTCTCGGTTGGGAGTTTTGGTCTTATCAGCTCGATTACGTCACCGCTCGCTCTTGGGAGCCGCGGTGCTAAGAGCCTTTGGGAGTATTGTGGGCCTCTTGGGGGGCTCTTGGGGAGCTTCTCGGGTGCATCTTGGGGACCTTTTGGGGCTTCTCGGTGGCCTTTTGGGGCCTCCGGGGAGCTTCTGGGCTGCGGGGGTGAAGGGACTAGGCTGCCTTTGGCCGTCTTTGGGCTCTCTTGGGGGCCTCGTGGGACCTTCTTGGGGCCGTCCTGGGGCCGTCTTGGGCCGTCTTGGCGCCTCTTGGGCCGTCTTGGCGCCCTCTTGGGTCGTTTTTGGACCCTCTTGGGGGGCCTCTTGGGCCTTCTTGGGGCGCTCTTAGGGGCCTCTTGGACAGTCTTGGACAGTCTTGGGCGCCTCTTGGCCCGTCTTGGCGCCCTCTTGGGCTATTTTGGGGGCCTCGTGGGAACATCTTGGGCCGTCTTGGAGCGGTCTTTGGGACCTCTTGGACCGTCTTCAACGCCATGAAAGGCGAAAAGCCGCATATGCTAGAAATGCACGCTTTCCTCAGAAAATAAATGATTTTGGCCTCTTGGGGCCCTCTTGGGACGCCTTGTGGGCGCCTCCTGGGGCGTCGTGGAGGCCTCTTGGGACGTCTTGGGGCCGCCTTGGGCGGTCTTG